TATATACTGTATATGTGTGTGTGTGTGTGTGTGTGTGTGTGTGTTATTGCAGTATCATTACATAGTTTTGTCAATATTTTGAATTAGATTTTATTTTTCTATTTTCATTTTAATTTACTTAAAGTTTTAGTAATTTTTGTTTTTGTCATTTGTATCAGTTTTTGTTTGTTTTTTAAAAATAAAAAAGTGTTCATTTTATTTAGTTTTAGTTAAGTACTTAAAGGCATAGTTCACCCCAAAAAAATGAAAATTCTGTCATAATTTACTCCCCCTCATGTTGTTCCAGACCGGTTTGAGTTTCCTTCTTCTGTTGAACACAAAAGCAGATATTTTGAAGAATGTTGGTAACCAAACAGTTGGCGGTAGCCATTGACTTCTATAGAATGGAAAAAATATCATGGAAATCAATGGCTACCATAAACAATTTTGTTACCCTCATTCTTCACAATGTCTTCTAGTGTGTTCAACAGAAGAAGAAAAAAAGTAGTAACTAAATGAAATGAGAAATGATGCCTTGGCAACTAACTGAAATAAATAAGATTACGTTTTTTTATCAATATTATTTTATTTCAGTTATTTTATTTGTTTATTTTACTTCAAGTAATTAAAATATTGTTATGGTTTATAGTTAACAATGATAACCCCAATAAATATATAAACAATAATATTACATATAACAAAATTACAAAAACTTACCCTGCATGGAAGGGAGACTTTTTGTCCTGACCATCAATCCTTTGAAGCAATATCGCACTGATGAGAACAATTAAATATGATCCACTCTGTCTATGACTGTCTTTTGAGAAAAGCATGTAAGCTCTAAAATCTCCTTGTGCCACCTCTGTATTTATATATTAGAGGGAAGGGGCGGGGTTAAGTAAGAAGGTGTGTCCTCAATGTCAATTACAGAGGATTTACAATCTATATAGGCTATATATAGTCTATATAGTTGTAGTTATACCTTCCTTCTTAATAGACAACTTTCCATCTCTGTTTAAACTGGTACAGATAACATTTACTGTATGATGATTATATGAATTGTATGTGTTTCTTTCTCTAACACCAATGCACTCATGCTTTCAGTACCTCCCTCTTCTTATGACTCACCTCCTTATTGCGCCTCAACCAACTGTTTGTTCCTGAAAGGTTTTTTCAGTTCTCTCACCTGCCGGAAAGCCATTTCTTAAAATAGCCCCTCCTCACACACAAGCTTTTCTTTATCGCTCCACTTTTCCTGTCGTTTTGTTCCCCTGACTTGAGTCACATTTTTTTCTATCTTTTTTTTCCATGCCCTTGGCACTTCAGATCCCCTCCAGTTCTGTTAACTCTCAAAATTCCCATCGGCATTCCCAAGTGAGTATTTTTTCGGATGACGTGAGGTCTCTCTCTCAACACGGTCTCCAAATAAAATCTTTTCAGACAGTCAGGAACTTCCAGGAATTTTGAGGTGTCATTTGAATTCATCTATATAAAGGAAATGACTGCTCATTCAGGGCCCATTTTCCCTATTCTCATCCTCCTTTCTTGACTACCTATTTTTCCCCCCTCATGCTTGTTCACTGTTTCCCTATAGACTCTATTGTGCACTTTTCCTGCTTTGGACATCTGGAGTTGTTTTCCTAGTCTGAGGAGCTGCTGGAATCCTCAAGCTGTTCAACCAAGTGCCACCTCCAAACATTTATGTATGCCATATGCAAACATGTATCATATAGTGATGGCTTGTTAGATAGAAGAGAGAAACACATAATTAACCTGACTTGGTTTACATTATTAGTTTTTTTTTTTAGTTTAGAGCTTTATTAATCCCCTTGGGGAAATTAGTTCAGACTGCCGTGGTGCTTCACATATACAATCAACACTTAACAAACACACATACAAATAAGTGTACCTCCGTGGCATTAATGAGGGAACTAGGAACACTGGAGTTAGGAGCAGCCTCCATGGCTGTGACAAGGAAGC